TCGCATCGAAGAATCGGAATGTCGTTGACTCGGAAACTTATTCCGTCGCTTCTAAGACTTTGATATCCATTATTTTTCGAACAGAGTATTCGATAGCATATTCACTTTTAATTTGAGCTCCAGAAGGTCTATCGAGGTCTGAAAGGAACGGAAAATCCGACCTTAAAATTTTGAAAGTCGGCCGCAGGGACTTCAGTTAAATCATTTGTTGTGATCACATTAGTACTACTTAGCATGGGGAGGTAGGGGGAAAGCCTCTCTCACACAAGGCAATCGCACTACGCGGTTGCCAATGTGTTTACTCACAGGGGAGGTGTTAGGACACCTTGAATAAAATGTTATGACAAATTTAAAAAAAACCTGAGATAGCTTAGAAAACGTGTGATGACCCTTTTTGTTATGGCACCGAACAACAGTTAGACCTCTACAAACACAGAGTTAATTTTCCATTCAGTGCAAAAACTGTTTTGCCAGAATTTATGATTTTTTAAGTGAGAGTGATCAGTATTAAGTATTAAGTATTTTATTTTCTTCTATGATTTTATATTATAAAATCCCCTGATGAGTGAGCAATCACGAAACAGGTTTGTAGGGATAAAAGCGTGGTCTTTGTATTTTTCTAACTCAACACTCAATCTAGCACGTTGATCCAATTACCTTTTTTTCTTTCCAGAAATCCATCTTTGCTCGGGGATTTTCAGGGATTCCAGGGTCCAATGGCATACCAGGAATGCCGGGAATTCCTGGGTCTCCGGGGTTGCAAGGACAACAGGGAAAAGATGGAGCCAAGGGAGAGCCTGGTGTCAAGGGACCAAGAGGCATGACAGGGACAAGAGGAGAAAAAGGAAATCAAGGGTCACGTGATAAAAATGGAGCACCTGGAATGATGGGAATAAAAGGAGATAAAGGCAATGAAGGGTCACATTGTAGCAGTGGCCCGCCAGGAATGAAGGGTGTGAAAGGAGGACTGGGGCCTAAGGGAGAGAAAGGAGAAAGTGTGAATAGTGCAGTGTGACAGACCAACTGGAAACAGTGTGTGTGGAAAAAAGATGATGGTAGAGAAAGTGGAACGATCAAGGTATAGAAATATCTAACACATGTCATAAAAAAATTTGGGAGTTGGATTAAATAAATATTTTTAAAATTTTAAAATGGAAGTTAACAAAATTAATTTGTATACAATTCTGTGCCTCATAGCAGGCAGGAAAAGTACAAAGTCATTGAATTCTTTCCTAATGTGTACCATTATTATAAAA